CTAAGTACACAAACCACAAGTTTGCTAAATTTCTTTCATTTTAATCTACTAGCCAAAAGTCATCATTCATATATAAGCTAAACTGCTCACTGGCTAAAATAAGTGAGGCACTAATTAACCTCAGCTTGCAAAGAATTAACGAGTGTTATTCAAAATGATCAATTACATGCCTATTTTCTAAAAAATACTTTACCTGGTTCATGAACAACTTCTTTAATTTTATGTTCTTCTTCTTCCTCTTCTAGGATGAAGCCTCCTCTTGTGTCAATTATCTTTGGAGCTGCTTTTACATTAGTCACACCTACGAAAAAGTACAAGTGGTCAACAACTGAACAAAGTTCCTATATTACCTCGCGCACAAATAATTTAATATATATAAAACAAGACAAGGATGTGTACGACCACCACTGCTATTCAACAACATATCAAAGATTCAAGCTAGTGCAAAATGACAAGACAGATGTTAAGATTAGAAAGAAGTTAAAAGTCTTTATTCACAGATGATGTGACTGTTATGTAAAATGCCCACAAGAAACTAACAACTAGAGTGAGGAAATAAACACCTAGAGAAAGACTTAGAAAACCTCTCTAGTGAAAACACAGAGAAATCAAATCATTGGAGAAATATACTACATGTAGATTGGAAACCTCAAGTTGTAAAGATGTCAACGCTCCCCAAATTTATCAAAATATTTTGATGTGCTTCCACTAAAAATCCCAGCAGCTGTTTGAAGGTGTTAACAAGCCGATTCTAAAATTTACATGCGATACAAATAACTCAGAATAGCAAAGAACAGAACTGGAGAATGTGCACCAGCAGATATTAAAGGTTACCATAAAACTTCATTGATGAAAGCAGTCTGCTAATGATGCAAAGACAAAGAGACCAGTAGATAGGAGATTTGTGAAACAAACCTATATATAGTTGGTCATTTTATTTATAGAAAAGGATCCAAAACAATTCACTGTGAAAAAGACAATCTTTTCAATCTGCTGTGCTGGAATTTATGATAAAGGTGTCACTAACCAAACTGAGGAAAAGATGATCTTTTCAATAAAGTTCATTTACAAGCTGACATATATAATCATCCTTTGACAATACAGATCTCCCTTGATTTAAAATGGAGTTGCATTCCAATAAATCCATCGTAAACTGAAAATGTATTTACCACACCTAACTTATCAAACATACCTTGGCCTCACCTATCTTAAACATGCACCGAACACCCACATTAGCGTATATTTGGGCAAAATCATCTAACACAGCCCATTTCATAAACAAGTACTGAATAGCTCATTTTGTTGAATACTATACTGAAAGTGAGAAAGTCTATAGACTAAACCCTAGTCCTAACTGTTAACACCTTCCCAATCACATGGCTGAACTAGGAGCCACTTCTTTATGCAGCTACTACTGCCACTAGCTAGCATCACAAGAGTATCGTGCTATAAATCAACAGCACAGGAAAAGATCAAAATTTAAAGTATGGTTTCTATTGAATTCATTATTTTCACACTATTTTAAAGCAAAAATGTCGTAAGTGGAACCATTACAAATTTGATCCAACAAATCCATTTCTAGGAATATACACAGTAGAAATTAGTGCACAGCCACCAAAAGACATAAACAGGGATGCTCAGGTTCTATTCATAATAGCCACAAACTAGAGTTAACCCAAATATCTGTCAATAAGAAAACAGAAAAATTTCATACTATTTGACATAAATGCTCAAATTACCATCACATGCTGTAACATGCAGATATGTTATGCAAAAGAAACCAGACACTGCATGACCCCATTTATGTGAAGTTCAAAAAGATATTATTCAAATGCTCAGAACAGTAGTTACTTCTGTGGCGGGTAAGCAGTAGATGCTGACTAGGAAGGGACATTAGAAAACAATTTAAGGTTCTGAAAGTGACTGTATATTGGTCACTTGGTGTTCAGATTATGTAAAATTCAGGTAAGTGGAACTTTACATATTAATGTATACTTATGCCTGTTCACCTCCTTAATCTCTCCATTCAACTGAATGCTTTTCTCTCTGCGATTCTGACAAATATCTAAGCACTCCTTTAAAAATCACTGGTTGGGGCCCTCCCTGGTGGCGCAGCGGGTTAAAGCACAGCACTAAGAAGCTGAAGCTACTTCTGCATGAGTTCCACTCCCACCTGCCCTGAGGAGATCCACATGGTGTGGCAGACCTCTCCTGACCCGCCCACTGCTCCTTTCAGCAGTGTGCTTCATCAGTCTGCCTGTTCTGCTCCCCTGTCTGCCTCTGGTGAATCCTCTCACCCTCCGCATCTCTGGCTTGTACCCCAGTCCCATATGAATAAATAAATCTTTAAAAAAAAATTACTGGTTGGATTTAAGTAATGACTGAAACAAAAAAATATTTTGATTTCGTGAATAGTATAGCAAGTCATCAAAATGAGTGCAATGAAAATTAAGAAGACGGAAAGATGTATCAAGGTCTTAACTTGAACAGAATCCCAAACAATGCTAACTCATGTGGGAAAATGATGTCCAGTTTCTCTCTGCTGCTATGCTTTACTACCTTTCCTGGGCCCTAAGCACCACATTCTATGCAAATTCTTCTGTTTTTCATTAGATTTGTCGTGGCACACAGAGAAATGAAAACTGTTACAGTATACTAAAATAAGAGATTAAAAAATCTCAGCACCTACTAAACTCTTGAAGCACAGTGGGGTTGTATACAATGCAAATTACTCCTCGGATAATTTTAGAAATCTTACAGTATATTCATCCCCCTTTGCCTTCATGAACAGAAGTTTACTTCAATTCCAGTGAAATACTAGTTTTTGCTCTACTTTACACATATAGTCCAGTCATTCAGTATATAGATCTTTTGTGAAATATAATCATCAGTGCAAATGAACAACTTTTTGTCCTAACTCTATAATGTCTCAATTGGAAAAGGAATAAAGGGAACCATTAGAAAGTAGGGCGGATGAGACCAGAACCAAAGTTGCCAGAAATGACAGTACTCGCATTAGTATGAACAGCAAGGATGTGCCAGCACCAGACTCTGCTCACTCTTCCTCACTTGTGACTGATGAGAATATACTGTGCTCGGCTGCTCACACAGTAAGGGCTATCGCTGTTGCAATACACAGACTTCATGTTATAGAGCAATCACGAAGAACTGCATGTCCGCCACACTGTATTTTAGGTACCCACATGGAGAATTTCAAGACTGACAGGCAAAAAGGCAGTCAAGGGGGAGAATTAAGTCCAAACAAGAACAACAATTTTTCTTCCTAGATTCCTAGTATATAACAGAGGCAGCTGGAATTCAAGGAGAGCCCCCTTGACCAGAGTTCTAGTCCTGATTAGCCTTGCTGGAATAAACCTGAGCAAACCCCTTCTCTTTACTGCTCATCTACGATCACCTTGGCAAAACACCGACACCAATTTTCCAGGTGAGCTATGTGAACCAAAATGGCTAATGTGAAAGACGGGAGGCGCTACAGATGCTCCTCCCTTAGCCCCACGAAGGCATCAACTAAGTCCGTCTGCTGCACTCGTCGCCCGGCAGCAGCAAGCTCTGTGCCAGGTACGGCATCTGCACTGTCTCCCACTGTTACATGCTGGAACGAGGGAGCAGGTGCAGGACTGCCGACATGAATTACAGGTCTAAAAGCGAAAGGTCCGCGCCTCCTGGGACCGGTGGCAACGCTACAGAGCGAGAAATGAAAGGTAGATAGATCTCAAGCGAGGACGGGCGCCGGCGCAGGTCAGGGCGGCTGCACCCCCAAAAGGAAGACGGGAGACTGAAGAAAGAAGAAGAGAGGCCCAAGAGCAGTGAGGAAAGCGCCGGGCTTGGAGTTAAGAAGCTTGGGTCCACGCGGAGTCGCCCCGGGGTCTCCGACAGGCCGCCTCAACAAGGCCAGGTGAGCGGTCACCCTCCCGGAACTGAGGTCTGCGCGCAGACGGAGAGGAGAGGCCGTAGCAGCGGGATGAGGCGCCGGCCCCGCAGAGGAGAGGAGGGCAGGCGCCACCCGCACTCACACCTCCGGTAGCCGCAGCCGCCGCCGCCGGGTAAGGCCGAGCGGCCAGTCGGGCCTGGCGCAACATCAGCGCCCGCTGCCGCTTCCGCTCGATGCTCGCCCGCACCGAGGCAGGCAGCTCTGCCGGCTGGTCTGAAGCCGCCGGTTCCGGAGAGGACTCCTCGGCAGACGCCATCTCCACCCGCGGGTGACCGCGGCTCCCGTCCTGCGCACGCGCGTTGGTGCGCCTAAGCTTGTCAGTAGCCCAGCGCAACCCTACACCGCCTCGCCGCCGGTCCCGCCCACCGCGGCACCGCCAGGAGGGGGCGCGCCTGCGCAGTTGAGGAGGGTGGGCGGGGTCTGCGCGGAGTGGGCGGGAAGACCCGGAACAATTGCTGGTTTGTAACCCGAAAGGGGGTTCTGGGCAGAGGTCGTTTTTCAGGACCTTGGTTATGGTGGTTCAAGCTCGGCTTTGAAGTTAGACCTGGGTTAAGTCCTACTTCTGACACCATCGGAGTGACCTAGAACAAGCTATTTTACCTTTTCTTTGGTGGTGAAATGGAAATAATTACGGCACCACGTCGTGGGCTTAGGAAGATTGCTTATCTGTAAAGACTGTCAGCCTGGAAGTAGACAGCTCCCCATAACTGATGGCAGCTAGTAGTAGTAGTATTGCAAATCAAGATCGAGCCAGAGCTGACTTTATTTTGAACCCACTGTCTAAGGACAGAACCTCAGATTTGAAATGAGAAAACCTGGGTTCAAACTCACCCGGATTCAAAATGCAGTACCTGGTGCCAAGGTTGATATGCATGAAACTGGCTATCTTTTCTTTTCTTTTTTATTATTTTATTTTTTAATAATATAACAGTTTTTTACATCATTTTGTACATTTTTTTTTATCTCAATTGTAATCCCTGTGGGTTTCCCATCACCTAGTCACCCGTGTGCCATCACCATAGTCCTGTGCACTTCCCTACTCCTCCCCCCTCCCATTTTTGGTCCCATTCCCCACTCCACCCCCACAAAATGTCTCTGGCATATGGCTGTTCATTATTCTTATTATTTTCTCACCTGGTCCATTATATCCCTGCTATGAGCAAAACCATCCGGTATTTTTCTTTCTCTTTCTGGCTTATCTCAGTAAGCATGATCTTTTCTAGCTCCATCCAAGTTGTTGCAAAAGACATGTGTTTCTTTCTTTCTTTCTTTCTTTTTTTTGGTTGCTGAGTAATATCCCATTGTATATATGTACCACATCTTTTTAATGAAATTGGCTGTCTTTTCAATGAAATATCCCTTCAGTGTGGATGAGCTACAACCAAGTAGATGGGTTTGGATTTGAAATAAATATAGCAAATTGAGCAAAGGAACCATTATACGATGTTCCCAAAAATGTATGCCTTTTTTTCCCCTTTTACAAATAAAAGCAGGGAACACTAAGCTCTAATTACTGCATGTGCTGTTTAGGACTAATATTTAGAAAGCCAAGTTGGTACACTGAGGTTTCTCACTAGTACACTGAGGTTTCTCACTAATACGCAGTTGTTAAAGTTTGAAAAGCACAACCTGGTGCTTCAACTCTATTGGTGTTATACACACAGACACACACATGCACAGAGAGAGAGGAATATATTTAAGCTGGAAAAACATATGTAAAGCAAATAAATGGTTTTTCTGGTTGAACTGAACTGGAAATGAAGACTTCAAACCATCCTCATTCCCTTTCCCCTCAGATCTGCTTCTCCCTAGTCACTGGCCCTGTCCAGGTGATAAAAATCGAATTCCATAGGACACCAAAAGAACAAGCAACAAAAGGAAAAAATTAGATAAATCGGATTTTATTAAAATTAAACATTTTGTGCATCAAAGGACACAGAAAATGAAAAAGACAACTCATAGTATGGGAGAAAATAGTGTAGAATCTGAGAAAAATCCAATGTCTAGACTATATAAAGAATTCTTGTAACTTAATACAAGACAATCTAGTTTTAAAATGAGCAGGTGACTTATTGACATCTTTCTACAGCGGATACACAAATTACCAAAAACCATGTGCAAAGATACTCATCACTAGTTATTTGGAATATGCTAATTAAACACATAAAAAGCTCCACTTCATAAAAGCACAGTGAGATATCACTAGGATGATGAGGAAAAAAAAAATTTAAGTGTTAACAAGAAGATAGAGAAAACTGGAATCCTCATAGGTTGCTGGTGAAAATGCAAATGATGCACCCATCATGGAAAACAATATAACTATTCTTTAAAAAGTTAAGCACAGAATTAACCACTCTTGAACTTTAACATGTATGACAAGACCCAAAAGAAAATCTACACAGGGAATGAGAAAAGAATAAGTTAAGGGAAGAAAATCTACTGCCGTACGTGTGGCAGGATGCCATCTGTCCTACCAGCGTATTGTGTCAGCTGAGCAGAAACCAGGGTGCAAGCAGAAGCCAAAAAAACAAGAGAGCAGCCTACCTGCTTCAGCCTTTCTCAGGTCAACCTGGTGGCTCTGCTCCGCCCTAGTTCCCAGCAACCTCCATTCAGGGAGTCAGGGGATGCCACCCAGAAAGCTCAGCCTTTTCCTATGCAATCAGCTGGGAGAGCCACCCATGAGCTCTAGGCTGCTGGCTCCTCCCTGTTCCTCTAATAACATCCCTGTCAGGGGTGGAGTCTGGGCATAAGGATTTTGTAAAGCAATTATCCTTGCCCCTTGGTAATTCTAAAGGCCAGTGTCAGGTAAATGTAGTGAATCTGGCTTCTTTGCACCCTCCTGCGCCACTAGCTTCTACTCCCACCCTCTGCGGCTGCTGTGGCCCTCCTTATTGAGTGGACACCGGAGGCCAAGAGCCAGGAGCAGTGCATGTGCACCTTTGATCTGGAGTCTGGGCCCAGCGTGCATATGTAAAGTGCAGACAACTGTGCTGAGATAAAACTGGGAGAAGTAAGAGGGGAGACTCAGCTCTGGCATTTGGGGCCACTCTGAGAGCAGTGGTCTAAGAGAGACTAAGGGAGGCAAAAAGGGAGAAGCCAGAGACAATGCCAGAGACTGCTGTCCCCCAGCAGAATGGTCTGCCCCTGATTCATCCTCCAAGGCCTGTAAAAATCTACTGAGGACTCCAAAATTCCCTTTCCCTCTGCAAGAGTCAACAATCAACCTAGCCACCTGGCATGGTTGCAAAGGAGCCTGCACCCTGGGTAACCCCTATAGGCTGCACATAGCTCTAAGAGTCCCTGAGACAACTCCGTATTTCTGAATAGCCTCGCCCAAGGGACCCTTGAGAATAATGGGCCCCTAAGACCCCCTCCCCCAACAAAGCATCAAACACTCATAAACGTGGACCTCAGTTCAGATGCTGCACAGGCCCCAGTAATCTGGCTTGACAGCCTGCTGGGCCTCATTCTCTGGTAACTCCCTCTCCTTTGACTTCCTTTGTTAACAAGTTTCTTGTGATTGGGTCTGAATGGGTGGCTGCCGCTTCAGCCAAACTAAAGAAAAAAGGCAGAGTGCATGTCCCAATCTGTACCTCCGTGGGGGGACAGAGGCTGCCGCGTGCCCAGAGTACAGCAGCATGAGTCACCTGGTGGGGCACGAAAGGAAAAGAGGCGAGCAGAATAGAGGGTGCATGTGTTCTGGCCTCTCCCCATTCTTGGTCTCAGGAAAAACTTGTGACTACAATTATTTTCCTGCTTTGTGCCTCTCCCTTCTCCCAGACCAACTGTGATCCTGACTGAAAGAGGGGTAATTAACAAAGCACAGAATGAATTGAAAGCCCCAACTGAAGCCTGAAAAAGAGCAAGCAGTTAAGAATGGGAGCCAGGAAGGGGAGAAACTTGGCAGTGTTTCTGAACAGGGCCTCCTCTCTGAGTGCATTAGTGGGGTTATTCATGCCTGAGATGACAGGATGTGAACATATTTGTCTTTATTATCTAGTAAATTGTACATGTGTGTGGCTTTCTTTTTTATTTTTATTTTCCCCCTGACTCCCTGGGGCCCTACCCTCTTAATGTGGTCACTTTGAACATTGTTGGCACGAATCCCCAACAGAAGAGCATCTGTGGGACAGAGCACACCAAAGGGGTATCTGTGGGGCAAAGATGTAGCAAAACAGAAATCAGCCCAAGCCTGTTGACTTCAGCTGTATCGATTTAGTAATCTAGGAAATGGGGCCTTTTTTTTTTTGCCGTGGTAGATCTGGCAAACCCTCCCTCTGGAGAAACTGAGATTTCAAATTCTCTTAACCAAAAGGAACCAAAGCAAAAAAAAAAATCCTTTTGGAAACCTATTAAAAAGTGTATGCAGGCCCTCCCTGGTGGCGCAGTGGGTTAAAGCACAGCACTGAGAAGAGAAGCTAAAGCCACTTCCGCATGAGTTCAATCCCCGCCTGCCCCGGAGGAGATCCACATGGCGTGGCAGACCTCTCCTGACCCGCCCACTGCTCCCCTCAGCCTGGATCTGCCTGTTCTGCTCCCCACTCTGTCTCTGATGAAGCCTTTCACCGCCCCTGAGCCTCTGGCCTGTACCCCAGTTCTGTATGTACAAATAAATAAAATCTTTAAAAAAAAAGTGTATGCAAAAGGAATTAGGAACATCTTAAAGACTTATAGGAATTTCCTTTCCAAAAGCAATAGGAATGGGGAGGTCCAAATGATTCAACTAGGAATTTAAGTTTTCCTAAGACTAGGAAAATCAATTATCAGTTCTAGAACCCAAATTCTCCATCCCTCATAGATCGACAAGGGCAGATCGCCCCTTCTCTCTATTGCCCAGATCCTGAATATGACTCAGAGGGCCCTGCTTACTGCCTCTTCCAGGAAGTCCACCCTGACTCCCTCTTCTGACAGCCTGTGGACCACATATGTGCTATCGTTGTAACACCATGCCGGAGCTGATGTCTATCTGCTGCCCTTACTAGATTACCAAGACCTTGAGAGTTAGGTCCACCTGATTTACCCTAACACCTCTAGGGTCCAGTATAGAGTCTGGCACAAAGTAACTGTTAAGCAAATACTTTTGGAATTAAATAAACGGAATGGGTAATACTGAATAAGCCTAGTTGGATACGTCACCAGCACCGAAATGCCAAGGTCCAAAGCTGAATCTACAACAAGCTTGACTCTGTTTATACATCTGTGGTGACCCAGAATACTTGAGAATAGCCCGTTCCATTGTTATTTAGCATTGACCATTCTTTATTGTAGTAATAATAACCATAACACATGGTACCTAT